CTCTCAACAAGGCTGTGAAGTGGATCCTGTCGTTCTCCCTGGGACTTTGAACTCAGTGAACATTACGATGGTAACAGTAAGCGTAGTGGACATTCACCAGGCGTGTATGATTTTCTAAGGTTGTGTCCCCGTTTTCCGTCTGGGAAAACAGTGGGTGAAGAAGGAAAGGCCTTTGTAGAAGATCAGCCCGTGGGTGGCAGAGCTAGGAGCTGAACCCCGGGAGCCTGGAGGTCTGTCGCGCAGTCTTGCTGTCTCTGCCCGGCAGGGCCTATGCTCTGTGCTAGCCCCTCAGACGCAGGAGTGACACACACCGCTTGTCCAGGGCAGCCCGCCGCCTTACACCGACCCTCCAACACGCCTGTGAAGTCACTGGAGCCGCCGGCCCTCTTTTTCTCCTTTTCTCCCTCCCTTTCCTGTTTTCTCTCTCCTTCTTTTTATCAAGGTACGCGTGTAACATAGAGTGGCCTGTCGGAGTCAGTCTGGCCGGTAGCGGTTAGCTTGGCTTGGCAGGCGCCTGTGATCGGTGCTGGGGGCAGGCGGTGGCAGGAGCCCAGGGTCCCTGGAACATTCTCCCTGGGTGTGAAAGGCGGCTGTACTGACCTCATCAGGCGGGCGGACAGGTGACTGAGCTGTGTTTATCCTGCAGCCCTGGGCCCTTCAGGAAGGCGCCTGGGAGCAGCCAGTCCCAGCCTTATGTAACCACGCTGGCCCCCAGCTCTCAGGCCAGTGAGTTTCCCAGCCCCTCCCCAGTCCTTCGGCCTGTTTGTCCAGGGGCGGCACTTCAGCCCCAGGGAGAGGCCTCCTGGAGCCTCCGGGGTGAGCTCACCTTGGCGCCACACCTGGGCTGCACCTCGCTGTGCGCTGAGGTCACCTCCGGAGGATTGCCAGGGGGTGACATCATCCCACAGGCCATCAGCGACAGGCAGCGGCCCCGCCTCCCAGGTGAGTCGCTTCAAGGAAGAGTCTTACGAAGCTGGGAAGAGAAGCGGAGGGCTCTTCCTCTGTGATGTTCTGTTAAGCACCCAGTGACCTTGTTACTCAGCAACCCTGTGGGGCTGCGAATTATAGAAATGGGGCACTGAAGGCTTGAGAAGGAGCATTTGGCTGTGAACAAGTTAGCCTTCCTCCAGCGTAAGCTCCTGTGGTCCTGATTGCGCCCCTGCCAGTGGCTCACTTGTTCCTCCTGATCGCTCATGGGGGCCAAGCCCAGCCCCATCCCCTGTCTCACACCTGGCAGCTTCAGGGGGCCAGGCCCCCTCCAGTTCCTCCCTTGACCCTGGATGCTGAGGGCGGGAGGGAGGGCAGGCAGTGTGAGCCCTGAAGAGGCTGGTGGAAGGCAGACCTGACTTGGGGCTCCACCTTGACTGACTTTTGGGGAAGGGGCTCACCTTCTCTGCGCCTCAAGTTTCCTGGTTCTGAAACGGAGATCAGGGACCCCCTGGTGGTCCCCTGGTTAGGACTGTACACTTCCACTTCCGGGGGTACGGGTCAGGGAACTAAGATCCCACCTGCCGCGTGACATGGCCCAAAAGAGAATAAAATGGAGATCAGGGTGTTTCCCCGGAGCAGATGGGATAACGTGAACGTGTGCAGACCTGTTTGGGCCTCTCCTGGCTCCCTGGGCTGCAGGCGCAGCCATCTGAAGGCTAAGCCGGCTCTGTTGCTCTCGTCTCTGAGCACGTCCTGTGACTCCCAAGGAAACAGGCCCCAGGTATCTTTCCGAACCTACCTTTTCTTGTTAATTGAGCATCAGCGACATTACACTAGGAGCTGGGGACACAAAGACAGGGTCTTAGTAAAAATGAAGTGCCTTTGCCCCAGCCTGACTCGTTCTTTCCCAAAGAAGTCATCATTCACAAGGCTGTCTTTAAAATCCAGTTGTTTGGAGCCAACAGTCCTTTATGTTATAGTCTATGGACAGGGCCCACAGGGCCTGACTTATGTTTAAAATAACCACAGCCCAGCTGCCTCATGCACTGTCCATTAGGCTGTCTCTAGAGCTGGTGCTGTCTCACTGGGGAGTGACCTGGAATCAGAGGTGGGCTTCAGCCGCAGCCGCCTGGTGTCCACTCAGCACCTCCTCGAGGATATCTCCGAGTGGCCTTGAGCTCTGCACAGCCGTAGGGAACTTGGTATTTTTCCTTCCCCAGTAGTCCTGGGCTCCCTCTCTCAGGGGCTCCCAGCCTAACACGTGGTTCCAGAAAGAAACGTGGCCATCTGCTAACGTGCCTCCCTCCACCCACCCCCACGCCCTGTCCATTGGCGAGTCCTGGCTGCCCCACGCCAGGTACCCTGCGTCCCTCCCTCCTCTCCATCTTCCTGGACACCGGGTCCAGGCTGCCACCTCTGACCACAGCAGCAGCCTCCCGGGTCTCCCTGGTGCACGGGGACCCCCTGGGCCATCCTCGAATCTGCCAGACAGATCCTATCAAGGTGCCAGCCAGACCACACTGCTGTGCTTGGGATCTAGTCTGAAGGCCTCATGGAGCCTCGTGCCCGCCTAACCTGGCCTCTGCCCCTTCTCTGACTGCATCACGCCCATTTCCCTTTGCTTTGCAGCCATGGCGACCTTCATGCATTTCCCCAAATGACCCCTGCCCTCCCTGCTTCCAGGTTTCTGCACAGGTGGTCCCAACGACTCTCCCTCCCTCTTTGCCAGGACAGCCTCCTCATCCTTCAGACCTCATCTCTCATCTCCTCAGACACCTTCCCAGCTCACTCTCCCCAGGGGTCCATCACCCCGTGAGTCCCTCCCGCAGCACGAAGCTTTCCATCAAAGCAGTCATCTTAGTTGGGGTGACGTGTTTATTTAGGAGGCAAACAGTGTCTCAGCTCAGTGAAGGAAGTTGTTGGTTGTTCAGTTACTAAGTCGTGTCTGACTCTGCGACCCCACAGACTGCAGCATGCCAGTCTGTCCTTCACTGTCTCCCGGAATTTGTTCAAACTAATGTCCATTGAGTTGGTGATGCCATCCAGCCATGCCATCCAGCCATCTCATCATCTGTTGCCCCCTTCTCCTGTCCTCGATCTTTCCCAACATCAGGGTGCTTGCCAATGAGTTGGCTCTTTGGATCAGGTGGCCAAAGTATTGGAGCTTCAGCATCAGATCTTCCAATGAATATTCAGGGTTGATTTCCTTTAGGAGTGACTGATTTGATCTCCTTGACTCCCAAGAGTCTTCTCCAGCACCACAGTTCAGAGCATCAGTTCTTTGGCACTCAGCCTTCTTTATGGTCCAACTGTCCCGACCGTACGTGACTACTGGAAAAATCATAGCTTTGCCTATACGAGCTTTTGTCGGCAAATTGGCTTTTTAATACACTGTCTAGGTTGTCATAGCTTTTCTTCCAAGGAGCAAATGTAAATGAAGGCAGGGACCTTGTCTATCTGATTCCTCACTCTCTCTAGTGCTTGACAGGTAGTACATGCTCAAAAAGTATTTGTTGAAGGATTTTCCTTAAGGGTTCGTGGCTAAGACTTCATGCTTCCAATGCAGGGCACCCACGTTCAGTCCCTGGTCAGGGAACTAGGTCCCACATGCCACAACTAAGGTTTCTCATGCCACAGCTAAAGATCCCACCTGCTGCAACAAAGATCAGATATCCCGAGTGCTGCACCTAGGACCTGGCGCAGCCAAATCAATAAGTAAATATTTTAAAATAAAAGAACAGCTGGTGATCAAATAGGTCAGCACACACTGAACACTTAGCATCTTGCTAGCAGGTCCCAATGTGGTACTGTTGTCCCCGACAGCAAGGTGGCCTAGCTGTCCATGGAGTGATCTGCCCCACACTGTGCTTCCCCCGCCCCACCCAAACACCCAGGTCCCTGTCCCCGAAAGCAGCAAGTATGTTACCTTACAAAGGTAAAAGGAACTTTACAGATGTGATTATGTCAAGGGTCTGGAGACAGGAGATGATCTTGGGTTATCAGGTAGATGGAATCACAAGAGTCCTCACAAGAGGGACAGAGGAGATCAGAGAGAAGAGCAGCTCCCCTGTGGTTGGCACAGAAGGGGGAGGAAGGACCCAGGAGCCCAGGCCTCTGGAAGCTTGAAACGGATTCTCCCTGGAAGGAGTACAGCCCCACAGACCCATCTCAGGCTTCTGACCTCCAGAAGTATGAGAACAGATGTGTGTTGTTTTAACCCTTTAGGTTTGTGATAATGTGTAACAGCAGCCAGAGGAAGGTGACCTGTGTGCTAGTCATGTCTTGGAGGTGGTACCTGGCTCAGGGCCTTGTGAGAGCTGGGGAGAGGATGAGTGCCCAGAGACGCCCCACTTGAGCGGGTCAGGGGAGCTCAGAGAGGAGGCAGTCTGGACCTGTGTGCCTGTCGGTGTCAGGCCCTGATCCCTAATACGGTATGATTTTGCATTTAAGTATTCAGGACACCCCATGAACAGTGGGTGGGGGTACCCCTGTTTAATCCAAGGGTTCACAGAGGTGAAGTTATCTACCTGAGTTCCGTAGAGAAGTGGCAGGATCACAAGTGGAAAATGAATCATCTGACTCCGAAAGCCATGCTCTTCCCATCATTCTGTCCAGTCCCCCTCCCCTCCTTCCAAGTGGTGAGGCCCGAATTTGGAGGGTGCCATGGAGATGGGCTGTAATTCCCAAAGTGGTTCCCTTGGTAAAGAATCCACCTGCAATGCAGGAGACAGCACAGGAGACCCGGGTTTGGTCCCTGGGTCAGGAAAACCTCCTGGAGAAGGAAATGGCAATCCATTCCAATATTCTTGCCTGGAAAACCCCATGGACAGAGGAGCCTGGTGGGCTCCAATCCATGGGGTCACAGAAGTTGGACACGACTTCGCAACTAAGCCACAACCACATATGGAGACGGGAGCCCAGCTCCCCTGAGCCCGGGCAGGCCCAGGCTTCCCCCAGCTGGGGGTCCAGGTCATCAGAGCCATGGTCACCAAGTGAAGTGTCCCTGGCTGCCCCCTGCAGCCAGGATGAGTCCCCCGTCTCAACGAGGCTCCCGCATGTGTCTCCTGCAGCGTGAACGAGCTGTACGTCGATGACCCGGACAAGGACAGCGGGGGCAAGATTGACGTCAGCCTGAACATCAGTCTCCCCAACTTGCACTGCGAATGTGAGTATTCCCAGCAGCCCTCTGCTCCGCAAGACGCCAGCTGTAGACAGTGCTGTGTGTGCAGAAATGGTGAGGTAAGTCGGGACGGCAGGTGGATGGCAAGCAGACAGTGAGCAGCAGGAACCTCTCCCTCCCTGCTTTTAGTGGGGAGGGTGTCGTGCCACGTGCGTGCGCTTGGAGGTTTGTGGGAGTTAAAAACTACATTTAAGAAACTGCCAACAATTTACCTCTAGAGAGTAGCCAGGTTGAGGTAGGGGTAGGGTGTCTCTGAGGTCAGGTTCCCAAGAAGCAAAGCCTAGATGTTTTTGTAAGTGACTGAGTGAGAGAGGGCTCCCAGGAGGAACCTGTAAGGGCGTGAGGGAGGTGAGACGCCAGGCAGAGGTGTGTGTTCGGCTGACGTCTGATTGCAGCCTGATCCTGCGGGGAGCTGTGGCGTGTGAATGACGTCATGGTTTGTCCCGCCTGGCAGCAAGGGGGGCTGGCCTGTTGTTATTCATGTCCTTGACTGATGCCTGCAGAGTGGTGTGCGGGTGGGGGGGGGAGACACGGAGGCCACGTAGCCTCCCAGGCAACCCAAGGCGTGGAGACCCGCAGCTACCCAGGAGGCGTCACCTGGAACAGGGTGAGCGCAGCGTTGTTAGCCATGGGAAACATCCCCTTCTACTTTGCACTCCTTGGGGGCTTTTGTTTGGTTTTGTTTTTTTAGTATATGTGCTGCCAAAGTGAGCACTTTTTTAAAAAAATTGTTTCAAAACCAAGAGAATGAATTAACCTGTATAAAACAAAGCTCTTTGGGATTCTGGTTTAGGGATCAGATTCTAGCTCCTTTGCTTACTGAAACTGTGTGGCCCTGGCTAAGGTGACCCCTCCAAGCCTCATTTCGTCAACTGTAAAACAGGCATAGTGCTATCTCTTTAAAAAAAAATATTATTTGTTTATGGCTGTGCTGGATCTTCATTGCTGCGCTCGGGTTCCGTCTGCTTGTGGACAGCGGGGCTACTTTCTAGCTGTGGTGCGTGGCTTTTCATTGCAGTGACTTCTCCCATTTTAGAGCATAGGCTCTAGATGCACAGGCTTCAGTAGTTGAGGCCCCCAGGCTCTAGAGCTCAGGCTCAGTAGTTGAGGCACACAGGCTTTAATTGTCCCTCAATATGTGGGATCCTCCCAGACCAGGGACTGAACCCATGTCCCTTACATTGGCAGGCGGAGTCTTTACCACTGGTCCCCCAGGGAAGCCCAGCATAGTTTTGTCTCTGGCTTGTTGTTGGAGGCTCTGAGGAGCTGGTTCCTAGATCTGTTCATGACCAGGCTGGGTTTCCAGCTGCCCCTCTGCCCCAGCCTGGCGCTGACCCCATGCAGACCCTCCACCTCCTCCCACTCACTCCCTTCCTCCTGAAGGGCAGACCGTTGGGTGGGTCTGCGGCAGAGATAGGGAGAGATTCAGCCCTGTTATTGCTTTTGGTGAGAATTACATCACAGTGTTGAATCCACAGTGGGCCCAGAGCCAGGGAACCTGTTGAAATGGGTTGGTCTTATTTTTATTTTTTCTCTTTCTCTCAGAAAAACACTTGGTCTGGCAGCTTCTCATTCGGGAGTTGGCCATGTCTCTGGAACAAGGAAATTCTTAGGCCGAGGACTGGGACCAGCAGAGCAGGGGTGGGAGGAGAGGTGGTTCTAGGCTGGGTTCCAGCCCAGGAGGGGCTGAGCGACCTCACGCTGCCGGTTACGCCGACCCCGGAGCCCTCCCCACCCCACCAGAGCCCCACACTCAGACTTTCCTTTGAGGAACTTCAGATTTGTGTTATAGAAAAAAAATGCATGCTCATCACTGTACCTTTGGAAAATCCAGGGCAGCAGAGAGAGATGAAATCGCCCATAATTCCACCCCCGATGACAGCATCAGTTGACATTTGACGCCGCTCCATCCGGTTGGCCTTCCATTCCCTGTGCTTCTGAACATGGCTGAGATCATGCTGCCTATGCAGTCTCACATCCTGCTTTCAGAAATAATATTTTTCTGTTACACAACTAATACAGGGATACCTTAAAAAAAAAAAGATACGAGTTCAAAATACAGAAGTAACATTAAAAAAAAGTAAAAGAAACAAGTTCATTCCCATGCCAGCCACCTGGAGGAATCCTCCTCCCACCCCTGTGTGTCTGTCTGTCTGTCTGCAGACATAGGTCATGTTTGATGGTTGTTTTGTTTTGTTTTTTAACATAATTGGGACCAAACTGCAGGGGACCTTTCTGAGATTTCTTGTTTTTTCCATTTGTATCTTGGGGCTCTTATATTACTCATAATATTGGTAAAATAATAAGCACAGCTGCCTTTGATTCAGCCCTTGCTCGGGGCCAGGCCCTGTCCCGAATCCCTTGGCTGTGTGAGCGCATTGAGGTGAGAGGTGTTCTCACAGAGTGGCCAGAATCTGGATCCAGACTCTGTGGGTTTCCATCCAAGCGCCATTGTTTCGTAGCTGTGAGATCTCAGGCAACTTACTTAACCTCTCTGTGCCCCAGTGTCCCCTGGTTTAGGGTGGGTCTGATGATAATATCTTCCCCACAGGGATGTTCAGAGGGTATCTTTTCATGGAAAAGGCACTTGGAAGAGGGTCTAGCCCATAGTCAGTTCTGTTTTAACTTTTTTTAGTCATCACAAGCCTAGGAGGCACAGAGAGGTTGGCTAACTTGTGCGAGGTGCCGTGGCCAACAGGGGCAGAGCCGGGAGCCCCAGGCAGGACGGGACACCCCAGCGCTCAGGCTGCCTCCCCGCATGTGGGCTAAGCTGTCTCCTTGCCCCCGCCGCACAGCGTCCTGGAGGGGCTGTGCCGCTGACCAGTCCCCCGCTGGTGGGCAGCTGGGTTGCTTCCCGTCGTCATGATTCCAAACCGGGTTGCCCGGAGCCTTGCATCTCGTCTCAATGGCCGTGCGTCTGGGGGATGAGCTCCCCGGAGGTGGAACTGCTGAGTCAAGCGGAGACCTGCTTGTGTTTCCTTTAATCCGAACATTACGACATCAGCATTTCCCACATACTACAGACCCGGGAGCATCATTTTTAATAGTGCATCACACTCCCTTCTATGGATGGGCCCTCTTGTCCTTCCATCCCCCATTGAGTAATACAGGTTCTTCCCATTTTTCCTTTCTTAAGGAGAAAATAGTCGGCTCACTGAAAATTGCTTCCAGCTGCTCTTTCTCTGTATCACAACCTGCTTTCTTAGCTTTCCTGTCAAGGCCGTCTCTGCGTCTCCATAGTTTACAGGGACCCCGTGCCTGCTGCTTCGACCGTCTCAGGGAATACAGTTGGCCCGAGCCTGCCCGTTTTGCAGATTGGGAAGCTGAGTCATAGTAGGTGATGGAGAGTCATATTGGAGCCAGGACCAGGACCCCAGGCCCCAGGTTTCCCCTCTAAGTGCACTGAGGAACTCAGAAACGTGCCCATGCTCCTAGAGGGCAGGATCAGGCACTGGGTAAAGCAAGGTGTGAGCTGTGAATGAACGACTGCCTGAGCCTGAAGGATGCCCAGGGGACAGAGACTGAGATGTAGTAAGTGCTGACGTCCGTGAGGTACTTGCCACCTACTGAGCACTAGGCCCATTGTAAGCATTTTAAACACATATTAATTATCTGACCCTTGTGATTCTCCAAGGAAGCTTTCATTATTATCCCTACCCCTCCACTCCCCATTTACAGGGAAGGAAACCAAGACGTGAGAGGTGAAGTGCCTTAGCCAAGGTCGCAAGCTGGTAAAAGGCCAGACCAGGATTAAGACACCTTCTAAGCCTGGCCCTCCGCTGCCCCCCTGCAGCCTTGAGGCTAGCAGAGTCCTCACCCCTGCACCCTTAGCTGCTGCCTCCCCCGGCTCTCTAGCTGGCGCTGGTAGTGGCTGGGGACAGGAACGCTGTGTGCTGCCTCACTCTGGCTCCAGCCTCCCCTTTCTCCTCCTCTCTGTGACTCTAGACTGCGGCCCTAGACTGTGTGCTCCTGGGTGGCTGGGGGCCCTGCCTGGCCATCCAGTGGATGCATGAGGGGTCCCTGTTTCTCTGGGTGTCCGTGACTCTTCTCTTCTTGTTCCCCTGCAGTGGTCGGGCTCGACATCCAGGATGAGATGGGCAGGCATGAAGTGGGGCACATCGACAACTCGATGAAGATCCCGCTGAACAACGGGGTGGGCTGCCGCTTCGAGGGGCAGTTCAGCATCAACAAGGTAGGAGACCTGCCTGGGCCCCTCCCCACCGTCCCCTTCCTCCCTGGAAACCGGATGGTGGAGCTGGCCACCCACTTGCCCTCCCTCCCCAGGCCCCTGGCAAGCTCAGGACCTGCGTCTAGGTACCTGGCCATTCTTGCTGAGAATCTTGAGTGGGGTTTTCAGGCTCCCTGAGGTTTGGAGCCCCAGCTGGCCGGTTGAGGAAGGAGCTATTCTTCTTCCCAGTGTGGAAGGAGGGAGTGGTGAGAAGTTGGTGGGATTGGCAGCCCTGAGCCCGAGTGTGCATCCTTGCCCTGCCCTCTCTTGGCCAAGCAAAGGTCTCCAGGTCGCTCGGGCAATCTTAACCTCAGTTTTTAAATCTTTGGGCTGAGGATATGATGATAATAATATGACACCATTCACTCCACAAAGTCTTTGTGATGAGTAAATGAGCTGTTACACATTCATTCATTCAGAACACTTGCATGGAGCAGCTGCTGTGTTCCAGGGTAGGCTGTCCGCTCTGGGCAGTGCCTGGACTAGGGGGGCAGTGTTCCTGCACTGGCAGGGCTTCCATTCTAGTGGAGGAGGGCAGACAGCGTGCAAACTAAAGAGCATTTTAGTGGGTGGTAAGTGCTGTGATGAGGAGTGAAGCAGGGGAAGAGTGAGAGGGGATGGGCTTGAAAATACCTGGTCAGCTCCAAAGGGCCATTCAGGTATCACTGCTGTTCTGTCGCTAAAGCCAGGAACTTCAGATCCTAAGTTAAAGGTGTCAGCACAGTGCATTTGGGAAAGCCGGGGAACCCCGGAGGCAGCCAGCACTTTTCTGGGCTTTTGATGTGTTGCAGTGGAGCAACAACTATGAGGTGGTGCCTTTTTACACATGAGGAACCTGAGACCCAGAGAGGTTAAATATCTCAGCCAAGGTTGCACAGCTGTCTCCATGTCCCCCAGCTCTCCTTCCCAGCTGCAGACAGACTGAGCCCCTGGCTTTTTTTCACGGTGCTGTCTTCATAGGGCACACGGACTTCTCTAGTTGTGCAGGCTCTTCTGTGCACGGGCTCCGGAGCGCAGTGCCTCAGTAGTTACACTGCATTGGCTTACTTGCCCCGAAGCATGTGGGATCTTAGTTCCCCAACCAGGGATCAAACCCAAGTCCCCTGCATTGGAAAGTGGGTTCTTAACCACTGGACCACCAGAGAAGCTGTTGAACCACGGTTTCTGCCTGCCCTCCTGCAGCCTCTGCTCAGATGCCCTTCTCCCTGCCATCTCAGTCAGAGGCTGCAGACTCACTGACCACACCCAGCCCCAAACAAGTTACATGTGCCCTGTAGCAGCGTTCAGATCCGTCAGAGCCAATATCAAAGCCTGGGCGTCCAGATCTCTGGCTTTTATTTTATTTTTTTAATAAAGTTTTTATTACTAAAAAATTTCAAATACAGAAAAGGGGAAGGAAGACTATAACCCCCATACACACATTCCCATCATCCTTCTTTAAGAACTATTAACATCTGGTCAATCTTGTTTTGTCCATACCTCCTCCACTCTCCAACTCACTCACTCTAGATTATTTAATATAGACATTCATTGTATCATTATATCTGTAAATAATTCAGTATTTGTGTAAATACTTCAGTGTGACTACAACTAAGGATTCTTTTTAGCATAGTCCCAATGCCATCATTATGCCTAAAAATGCCTAAAAAATAATCTCTTATTATCATCAAACATCCACTTGGTGTCCAAATTCCTCCAATTTTCTAAAAAAAATGTATTTTTCTGTGATATGTTCAAAACAATAATGACAAGGTTCACACACTGTCTTGCGTTTGGTTTGGTTAATGTTTCTTAAATCTTTCTAATCTATACTCTCTGTATATGTGCATATTTTACATTATTATATTATATATTAATAATATATTACATTATTATATTTTTACATTAATCTTTTTTCCAGCTTTATTGAGGTATAATTAACAAATTTAAATTGTATATGTTTACGTGTACAACATGATGTTTTCATTTAGTCCAGTTTTTAAACATGGCTGCTCATTAGAAATGCATCTGGGGACTTCCCTGTTGGTCCAGTGGTTAAGATGCTATGCTTCCACTGGAAAGGGTGCGGGTTTGATCCCTGGTTGGGGAACTAAGATCCCACATGCCATGCAGTGCAGCCAAAAGCTTTAAAAAATCTTCTGTAAAAAAATAAAAATAAAACAACATTAAAACAAAAAAAGAAATGCATCTGGAGCTTTGGAGAATAGCAGTACCTGGGCATTTGTGTTTTTCAAAAAAATTCAAAATAATCCTGTTATGCATCTGAATTTTAAAAAGTAGACTCAGGTTTTTCTATCAAATGGTAGTTTTAGTGATATAGAATTCTATTATTTTCTGTTGACTAATCATGATACAAATGGTATTAAGCGAATGATAGTTACATAATCACAATAGTAAAAGATGTTTATTGGTTTTCACAATTAATACCCAGACAAAAAACAAAAGATAATTATGATCGAAGCCATAATGGGAACATGATTAACCTAACTATAAAATAATTACATACAGTTGGGAGGTTAAGTAGAGTGAAGTGGCAAGTAGAACTGCATACATGAACATGTTCTCATCCACTCAGCCAGTCTATGAATTTGGTTGGTACACTATTTACAGTTAAGGTAATTATCAATACATATGATTCTGTTATCAATTTCTTAATTGTTTTGGGTTTATTTGGTGTAGGTCTTTTTCTTCTCTTGTGTTTCCTGCCTAGAGAAGTTCCTTTAGTATTTGTTTTAAAGCTATTTTTTTGGTGCTGAGTTCTCTTAACTTTTGCTTGTCTGAAAAGTTTTTGATTTCTCCATCAAATCTGAACAAGAGTCTTGTTGGGTAGAGTATTCATGGTTTTAGGTTCTTCCGTTTCATCACTTTAAATATACCATGCAATTCCCTTCTGGCTTGTTGGGTTTCTGTTGAGAAATCAACTGATAACCTGATGGGAGTTCCCCTATATGTTGTTTGTCATTTTTCACTTGTTGCTTTTAGTATTTTATCTTTGTCTCTAATTTTCGTCATTTTTGATTACTGTGTGTCTCTCTGTGTTCCTCCTGCGGCTTATCCTGCCGGGAACGTCTGCTTCCTGGCCTTGGTTTAGTATTTGCTTCCCCGTGTTAGGGAGGTTTTCAGCTGCTATTTCTTCAGATATTTTCTCAGGTCTTTTCTCTGTTTCTTCTCCTTCTAGGATCCCTATAATGCAAATGTTGGTGCATTTAATGTTGTTTCAGAGGTCTCTTTGGCTGTCTTCATTTTTTTTTTTTTCATTCTTTTTTATTTATTCTGTTCTGTGGCAGTGATTTCCACCATTCTGTTCTCCAGGTCACTTATGCGTTTTTGTGCCTCAGTTATTCTGCTATTGATTCCTTCCAGTATATTGTTCATCTCTGTTTGTTTGTTCTTTAGTTCTTCTAGGTCTTTGGTAAACATTTCTTGCATCTTCTTAATCTTTGCCTCCATTCTTTTTTCAAGATCCTGGATCATCTTCACTATCATTATTCTGAATTCTTTTTCTGGAAGGTTGCATATCTTTACTTCATTTGGCTGTTTTTCTGGGGTTTTATCTTATCCCTTCATTTGGTACGAAACCCTTTGCTCTTTCACCCTGCTTTACTTTCTGTCATGTGGTTTTGTTTCCAGTCACCGCGGGATTGTATTTCTTTCTTGCTTCTTCTGTCTGCCCTCTGGTAGATGAGGCCAACAGGCTTGTATGAGCTTTTTGATGGGAGGAACTGGTGGTGAGAAAAACTGGGTCTTGCTCTGGTGGGCAGGGCCCTCCCTGCCCAGTAGAACTTCAATTCAGTTACCTGCTGATGGCTGGGGTTGCTCTCCCTTCCTGGTGGTTGGCCTGAGGCACAGGCTCTATGGTAGGGCTCATGGCAACCTCCAAGAGGGTCTCCGCCAAGCGACCCCTTCCCGGGCTGCTGCTCCATGCGCCCTTGTCCCCTCCGTGAGCCGTTGCCCACCCTCACCTCCACAGGAGACCCTGCAGCGCTAGCAGGCAGGTCTGGTTCCGTCTTCTGCGAGGTCACTGCGCCTTCACCCTGGGTCTTGGCGCACAGGAGACTTTGTTTGTGCTAAGACCAGAGGCTCCGTTTTCCCCAGTCCTGTGGAAATCCTGTAATCAAACCCCACTAGTCCTCAGAGTCAGACTCCCGGGGGGTCCCCAGTCCCTTTGCAGATTCCAGATCGGGAAGCCTGACTTGAGGCTCGGGAGCTTCACAACAGTGCCAGAACTTCTTTGGTATTATTGTTCTCCAGATTCTGAGTCGCCTACCCATTTGATTTTTATCGTGATTGCACCTCTCCTCCCATCCTGTCGTGGCTGCTTCTTTGTCTTTGGACACGGGGTACCTATTTCTGGGGGGTTCCAGCATCCTCCCGTCAGTGGTTGTTCAGATTTCTGGCTTTTAAACGTCGCACTGAGCCTGAGTCTCATTGGAAACAAGAACCTGGAGCTAAAGCCCCCTTAGTGTGCCCGCTTCGTGAGCCCCCTTAGTGTGCCCCCTTACGCAGCGTGCCCCTTACGCAGCGTGCCCCCTTACGCAGCGTGCCCCTTACGCAGCGTGCCCCCTTACGCAGTGTGCCCCCTTACGCAGCGTGCCCCTTACGCAGCGTGCCCCTTACGCAGCGTGCCCCCTTACGCAGCATGCCCCTTAGACAGCGTGCCCCTTACACAGCATGCCCCTAGCGTGCCCCTTAGACAGCGTGCCCCTTACGCAGCGTGCCCCTTACGCAGCGTGCCCCTTACGCAGCGTGCCCCCTTAGTGTGCCCCCTTACACAGCGTGCCCCCTTACGCAGCGTGCCCCCTTACGCAGCGTGCCCCTTACGCAGCGTGCCCCCTTACGCAGCGTGCCCCTTACGCAGCGTGCCCCCTTACGCAGCGTGCCCCCTTACGCAGCGTGCCCCCTTACGCAGCATGCCCCTTAGACAGCGTGCCCCTTACACAGCATGCCCCTAGCGTGCCCCTTAG